TATAGCCCCCGACAACATAGCTCCTAGGATCACTCGGGTACTCAAACCCCTCCACCACAATAAGGTGGTGGTTCAAGGAGGGGTCTATGGGGCTACAACATAATTAAACAATTAGAAAAAAAGAAAAAACAATATGTACATATTTCTGTTGGATAACACAGTGTCATTTCTCTTTTCTTTGCTTTTTACTTGTTGCTGTAAATATTTAGGCAGTTTTACTTTTTCAGGGTTATAAAAATATGCAAATTAAATCACTTTAAAATAGTTATTCCTTGCTTGAACCACTCACATGTCATATATTTTGACACTGGTCCACAAGTTGATTTAACTTTTTTTTTAAAAAAGGTTTACATGACTTAATATTAAAAAAAAATTTCTTCAAAAGGCTCACTTCTAACATTTCCAACATATTAGCAATTCTGTAAATGCCACACTTTGAGTGGGCAAAAGTTAACCTTAAAGTTAATTTACATTTCTTCCATTGCTGCAGATTTGAGGATGTGTTCATAATATCTTTACTCTCATTCAATCAAACCTAGAGCTACAGTGTGTAATTATTTTCTAAGTTGAAAGCAATGATAATCTAGAATAGACGTCAAACCTGTCTGTCTTTTTCTTCTCATCTTCCAGGGCCCGGAGTGTGTGCTGCAGACGATCTGTCAAGATTTCTAGCTCCTGGGTAAGTTTGTACTCCTCACGAAACTGCTCGCCTAGCAACACCAGGTCACGTGTGGCATCATGTAGCGGGATGTCACTCAGGTATAACCCCCTTCGTGTAAGATCATCCAGGTTCATGACACTAATTGCAAAAGTGGAGAACAGGCAAATAAATACAAGGAAAAACAGTGAACTATTTATTATTGCTGGTGTAACAGTTATTTCCACAGAGAAGCTGCTGAAAATATCTTTATATCTGTGGTAGCAGGAAAATGTTTGATTTATTTCTTGTACTTGCTCATATTAAGAAAGAATGTAAATTAAACGAGGCATAAAGCATGAACTGGCAGCAGTGAAATCATAGTCTTCTTGTCAAGGCTGAGGCTTCAGTCTCCAGATAAATGTTCCTCTCATGGAGTGAGGTCAAGCACTGCATCTTTCAGCCCGATATTTTAAAAGGAGTGATCTTGTCCTCTCAAAGTGTTTGCGAGAACAAGATCTCTTGAACCCTGCCCTCCTGTGTCCGATATTTCGTTAGAAAGGTCGGACTACTTGGTAAACGGGCACAGAGGCTAATGGAGGTCACAACAGAAGTACCTATGTAATTACCAGGTTTCATTGTTTTTCTCTTGCAGTGTACCTACCTATTTTTGTTTATAAAGGCACAATAGCAAAATACTGTACATTTGTGTTAACTTATTAATAACTTTAAGTAGCTTTGTAACTCTTATATATAAAATAACCTCTAGTCTTTACTGACTATGTCAATATAGTTTAATTACAAGCAAAAAAAAGTTTTCTGTTTCCTACCAATCACTCCTTTTCTATCTGTAGCTACATGAACAAAATATTATGAAAACCTATATCAAATCATAATTGCATGCATAGCAGAAAGAGATTCTGTTAAATGATATTGATAATATTCAGTATTTTTCTTAATGACAAAAAATGAAGTACATACACTGTTGCACTGGGTGAAATGTTCCTTCATGACAATAAACATGGGCACTGAAGTGTATTTAGAGTTAATTCCACAGAAACCGTCCTGCTGCTGTAACTGCTGGCTAGCACATATTAATCTGCACCTGAAGTGACATCTGGTTGGGTAACATTTCCTTAAACTAGAATTACTGCTTCATGGTTGTATGTCTCTGCCAACCATTCAAAATCATGGGAATGGGACAGACCTGAGGATACGGTGGCCTTTTGACGTTCGGCCATCAAACTCTTATCAGTGTGTCTTTTG